TTTGACAAACCCGACAAAAACAAGCAATGGGAAAGGAGTCCCTGTTTAATAAATGGTGTTGGGAAAACTGGCTAGCCATGTGCAGAAAGCAGAAACCAGACCATTTCTGACACCTTAAACTAAAATTAACTCCAGATAGATTAAATACTTAAACACGAGGCTTAACACCATGAAAACCCTAGAAGAAAACCTAGGCAAAACCATTCAGGACATCGGCAAAGGCAAGGACTGCATGAAGTCCTAAAATACCAAAAGCATTGGCAACAAAAGGCAAAATAGACAAATGAGATCTAATTAAACTCCAGAGCTTCTGTACAGCAAAAGAAACAATCATTAGAGTGAACTGGCAACCATATACAGTCTGATGTTCATTAATGTACTTACTGCTATTGAATATATACCTAAATTATTCAAAATAATAGATTTTGAGACATATATATTTTACCACAATAAAAAAATCTAAAATATATATGTGCAAGATAATTACAAACATGAATTTATAATTTTCTGTATAAGCATAAGAAGTATATATGGTAAAATCTCAAGTTACATTTAAAACCTAATGACTTATAAGTTACCCAGGCCAATCAGTTGTATAAGCTTTAAGTATACTCTTCTGTCGGGGAAGAGTTTATTCAAGTATTTAATCAACATCAGACTGTATGCTTAGAAATATGTTCAATATTACATACAAATGCTGTTTTAAAGAGCTATTAACTTATTCTAATTAGGCGCTTATTTTAATAATTGTCTTCAGCACAAAACTAATCTCCCTTCAGTTCCATGGTAGTATTTAAGAACTTGAAAAATCCTACATATAGAACTGTAACAGCAGCAGCTGCAATTTTCTGAGCTGTTTATATCAAAAGGAACTGCACTGCATACATTATTTCATTTAATTGCTACAACAAAATAAGGTGGGTATATAATTCTACTTTAAGAATGCGAAAAGTAAGATTCAAAAAGCTTAAGTAAGAAGTTACATAGGCCAGGCACGGTGGTTCACGCCTGTAATCCCAGCACTTTGGGAGGCCGAGGTGGGTGGATCACAAGGTCAAGAGATCAAGGCCATCCTGGCCAACATGGTGAAACCCCGTCTCTACTAAAAACACAAAAAAATTAGCTGGGCGTGGTGGCACATGCCTGTAGTCCCAGCTACTCGGGAGGCTGAGGCAGGAGAATTGCTTGAACCCAGGAGGTGGAGGTTGCAGTGAGTCGAGATCGAGCCACTGCACTCCAGCCTGGCGACTGGTGACAGAGTAAGACTCTGTCTCAAAAAAAAAAAAAAAAAGAAGTTACATAGTTGGTGAGGAGCAGTCTGACTTGAATGTTAATGTTTAAGAAACACTAAATGAAAATTTGGCTTTCTATTTCTGAACTACACCAATTGTAGACAAACACAGAGGTGATGAATAAAAACTTTCATGTCTCATTTAAGGAAAAAAAGCAGTGATTATCTCATCACAATACATGTTAAACCCTCAATTACAGAATGATAAGTTTGTACTCCTAGAGATTCTTTTCACGCATGCCTATTATCCTATTCCTAACGTAGGACCAAACACGGAACGACAGGTAGAAATTTAGATCAATATTCAGGAATGACACATCTACTAACAAAAAGAATAATTGTTTCAGCCAATGAAATTACGAAAGTAATAAAAGCAATTGCAAATCTTGTAAGGAAGAAGTAAAACTGTCTTTTAGCAGTTGATATGATCATGTACCAAAAAACCTCCTAAGGAATCTACAATAAAGATACTAAAACTAAAACTAATAATTAAACCAGGTTACAGGATATAAAGGTAAGATAAAAAGACAAACTTTTACATACTAACAACAAATATTAAAAACTGAAATTAAACAACATAATTTGAAAGAGTATAAAAAATACTTAGAGGTAAATTTATCAAGATATTTGTAAGACCTCTATATTGAACACTATAAAACATTCCTGAGAGAAATTTAAGATGTAAATAAACAGATATCATGTTCATAGACTAGAATACATCAATTATCCCCCAAATTTACCTATAAAATTCAAAGTAATCCCATAGATATCCTAGTGAATGTTTTGTGGCATTATAAATTGATTCTTAAATTTATATGAAAATGCAAAGGATTTGGCAAAGCCAAAGAAATTTGAAAAAGGAATATAAAACTGAAAAATATATACTACCCAACTTCATGGCAGATTATAAAGCTCTAGTAATCAAGTATTAGCATAGAGACATGTAGATCAATGGAATAGAAGACAGATTCCAGAAACAGGCCCACAAATATACTACAATCAATCTATTTGACAAAACTTCCAAGGTAAGTCAATGAGCAAAGGATAGTCTTTACAAAAAATTATGCTGGAACAATTAAAATAAAATAAATCTTAACCCTTAAGTCATACCACAGCACAAAAGTAACTTAAAAGGGGCCATGATCCCAAGCATAAGACTTAAATCTACAAAATTTCTAGAAGAAAATATTTGTTACCTTAGGACAGAAAATATACAAAATACGAGGACACAAAAATATGAACCAAAAATAGATATGTAAATTGGAATTCATCAAAATTTAAGAAAAATCTGAATTACAGTGTTAAGAAAATAAAAACATAAAGAAAACTTGCCATGAACTAGATGATGCAATACATATATTTGAAAAAGTACTAGATCCAGACTATATAATCAATACTTGTATGTTACTTATAATAGTAAACCTAATTTAGAAAAGATTTAAACAGACATTTTACAGAAAATAGCCAATAAGCATACAAAACGATGCTAAATATCATTAGTCACCAATGAAATGCAAAGCAAAACTGTGAGATGTTACTGCACATTCTTAAGAATAAGTCTTAGACACTACATAAGAGTTGAAAAGAATGTGAAACAATAGGCAATCTCTTATTGCTGTGGGAATGCAAAATGGTGTAACCCTTTTGGAAAATACTTTGGCAGTTTCTTATAAAGTTAAACATTAGATCCAAAAATTCTACTCTTAAGTATTTACCCAAAAGAAATGAATGAAAGAACATATATAAAGATTGGTATAAAAATGTTCATATTAGCATTATTCATTATAGTCTCAAACCAGAAACAACCCAAATTTCCACCAACAGGAGTAAGTAAACAAACAAGTTGTGATATAGATACACATTGTAATACTACTGAACAAAAAAACTGAATGAACCACCGGTCAAAAAACATATTAAATATTAACATGGGCAAATCTCAAAAACTGTGCTGTGCCAAAGAAGCCACCAGATAAAAGATTATATACTCTATGATTCCATTTATAACTCCAGAACACATAAAACAACTCTAAAGACAGAAAGGATATCAATAGTTACCTAAAGTCTGAGCTCAGGAAAGCAAGGGAGGGCACAAGGTAGATTTTTCAGGTGATGTGGATGTCCTAACTGTCTATATTTGGCAAAACCAATCTTTACACTTAGTAAAGTTGACTTGAAAATCCTTCTAAACATATATTTGGTGAAATAGAACACATCATATTTAAAGGAAGGCAGTTGATGTTAGAGACCAGATTATAAATATTTATAAAAACCTAAAAACAATTTAGAATTAAAATAAAACTGGAGAGGGTTTCATCATACCTTCAGTGCTATGAAGACAAATCACCTTGGGGAAAAAAACTGTGGTGAATCTTTAAAAAATTTATTCTAACAGAAGATTTTAAAAGTGATTACATAGAAAAACTAACTGATTATAGCATGCTTTTGAAAATCTCTTTCAAGCCAGGGGCTTTTTAGGGTGAGCAGTTAGTGCATTTCTTTGTAATTATAAAAGATGGGGAAAACAGCAACAGAATTGAACCTGACTGATTCATCTTTGAATGGTTCTTTCAACCATTTCTTAATGTTTAAGTTCACAGATACAAGTGCAGGTTTGTTAGATAGGTAAACTTGTGTCACAGGGGTTTGGTGTACAGATCATTTCATCACCCAGGTACTAAGGAAGGTACTCAGTTATTTTTCCTGATTCTCTCCCTCCATCCACCCTCCACCCTCTGAAAGGCCCCAGTGTGTGTTGTTCCCCTCTACCTGTCCATGTTGAACCACTTCTTTTAAAATTTAGCACAAATCCATTTTTCTAGCTTCATTTTGCCTAACTTCAAGTTAGTGCACTCACTGAATTTTCTGAATTACAACTCGTAGGCTATTGTATACAAAGGTATGGTGTTTGAAATGCTTCCAGATATAGAAAGAGCATATTTGGAAGTCTGTGGCCAGCAGTTTTTGTTCTTTTTAGACAGAGCCATATAAAAACTATCTTAATTCAATCAAGGTAGTAAAGTTTAGGTACCCTAGTCCAAAGAATTCAAAGCTGGCAGTCAATGGTTTCTAAATAATGAAAATAATAATTTTCCATGTCAAATAATATCTCTTTACATACTTTCAGAAACATTATCTAACAATGAAGTGAATTCTATTACTGCCAGTCAAGGTTTCTATAGTATGTTTTTTTTTTTTTTAATAGATTAAAGAAAGTCATTTTGTTTCTCCCAGTTTTTCACAACCCAAACAAATAGATAAATTCATAAAGAAAATATCATACATACATAATTGGAATATTATTCAGCTTTGTAAAAAAAAAAAAGGGGGGGAATCCTCTCATTTCTGACAATATGAATGCACCTGAAAGATATTATGCTAAGTGAAATAAGTCAGGCACAGAAAGACAAATACTGCACATTTATTTATTTATAGAAAAGTATAAACTTGAAGAATATGCCAGCAGCATATTGCAATACTTATCTATATTTTTATTTTAATTTCGCAACAACTGTTGTAATACATTGCTCAGAAAAATTATGCACCTTGCCCAAACTACCAAAGAGAGCTATGATTTAAAACCATATTAAACCCCCAAATCCATTTTAAGTATCATGCTGTAATACCTCAAAAGGAACGCTCAATCTCTCCAAGAGGTACGACATAAACTTGGGAGAAGAGTGACAGCATAATTTTTAAAAACTTAATTTACCTTCAGAGGACGCAGAGCGCCACAAAATTTTGTCCACCAGCTGTTTTCAATGAATTCTAAATGCCTCTCTCTCTTCTTAAGTGTTCGTAACCTTTCTTCAAATTGTTTTAAGGCGCGTTTATCCCTTGCTGGCAAAGGTCGACCATCTTTGCTCTGCAAATAACAGAACAAAATAAAAGTTTTACCATTAACATCTTATTAAAGTACTTAGCAGATTCAGCAGATCAGATGACAAAACCTTTTCAGGATGGACATTCCTTAGGCAAATTTACAAACTAAAAAAAAAAACCTGACAACTGCAATATAACAATAAACATAGGATAACCAAGGTCAGCATCAAAATGTGGATGTGTGTACATTTATGCCTACCTTGTTCTTGATCGCAATATATGGTAGAGTTATGCTCCACAAAAAGTATTTTTTATAAGAAGAGTTTACTATGCACGTTGTTCAATTATTCTCCATCCTCTCTAAACTCACTGTATCACTTATTTTAATATATATTTGGCTCTGCCCCTTCCCTCTTTCTAGTCAAGCAGTTGTGTTACCTGAAATAATGCTTCTCGGCCCAATTAAAATACTAACAGAATGAAGCAACACAAGTACAGATGGCATGCAGAGGTTTTTGTAACAATTACTAAGAATTGACACTTCCTTGTTTTCCAACTATTTTGGCAACTGAGTCAAGCTTTCTTTGGCCAGTCTATCTGACAGGTAATTTCCATCTATTTTTACATGATACTTTCTGTAACCATGAGCAGCACCTTTCTCATCATACCTCACAGACACACTTTCTCAATGACTCTCCAGCTCCTGTCTTCAACTGGCTACAAAAATAAGACAACTACTAAATACGGAAAAGGTAAACTATAAAATTGTTTTTATTGGAAGGAAAAAGAAAAATATTTGTACAGGATTACATTTTTAAAATGCAAATACTTTAGTTATTAGAATGTCTTTAATATTCTTGGTTAAGGTTGAAATAGGTTCCTAGCAGACACAGAACATATTGCTCTCCCGTGTATCCTAGTGCAGCCTCAATTTGAAATCATAAATATAACGCAGAGAATACCTATGTAACCTTTAATAAAGAAATTTACACAGTTACAACAATCTCTTTACATATCTGCATCATTATGCTCTTCTAAAACCAATCATCCTCTTCCACATCTTATCTTATTGTTTGTCAAACTTCATGCATAAGAAGCACTTAAAAAGTTTGTTAAATACAGACTTCTAGGCTCTATCCCCAGAGGATGTGATTTTGTAGGTCTTGAGTGGGGCCTAGAATTTGAATTTCTACCAAATTTCTAGGAGATGCAGATAATACTAGTCCAGAGACCACACTTTACATACTCCAGACTATATTTCATTCCTTTAAGTCAAGTACATTGGGTATTATCACTGGATCCCAAAACACAGAAACTAAGAGGAATTTTCTGAAGATCAGAGGAATAAAATGAACACTCTCTTCTGGAAGATAAATCCAGGTAACAATACTTCAAGTGTGTGGTATGAGAAGGATTTTGGCACTTTATATCTTAACCATAACAATATTCCCAAAAATTTCCATTATCATATCAAAAGAATACTAAAAATGCAGTAATTTTTTCTCACTGCTGGTGTTCAGTATTTCAGAAAAAAAAATAGTAAACTGATTTAAGGATCCACTTGAAACAAACCCAAGTTACCTGCCTATTTGGCGAATGCTGCAGTGGAATGAGGGATGAATGTCCATTTTGCATTGCCAATTGACTAAACAAATATATAAGAATAATTTTGGTCAGAGAAACAAATACTAAGACGTACACTCAGCAGTGGACATCTATCTCATTTGAAAGAAAAAATGTAGTTATATAGGTTAAAATGTAGTTCAAAGGTATGAGAAACTCCCTGTTATATTAAAAAAAAAAAAAAAGGCAAAACATGAAAGCTTCCCTTCACGCTGTCTCACTGTCTCCAGTTACCATATTACCATTCCCCTTTCCTACGGTTTTCACTGTTAAGCAGTTCAATACCCTTCTGCAAATTTTCTATTTATTTACACACACACACACACACACAAATACACACATATTCAAATATATTTATGATTTCTTGTTATACACAATAGGTAACATTTGTTGAAAACCTTTCTTTTTGTTTAAGTTCAGGGGTACATGTGCAGGATGTGCAGGTTTGTTACACAGGTAAACGTGTGTCGTGGGGTTTGTTACACAGATTATTTCATCACCCAGGAATTAAGCCTAGTATCTACTAATTATTTTTCCTAATCTTCTCCCTCTTTCTACCCTCTGACCTCCAGTAGGCCTTAGTGTGCATTGTTCCCCTCTGTGTGTCCATGTGTTCTCATTATTTAGCTTCTACTTGTGAGAAAATGCAGTATTAGATTTTCTGTTCATGTGCTGGTTTGCTAAGGATAATAGCCTCCAGCTCCATCCATTTCCCTACAAAAGACATGATCTTATTCTTTTTATGACTGCATACTATTCCATACTGTACATGTATCACATTTTCATTATGCTGTCTACCACTGAAGGGCATTTAAGTTGATTCTATGTCTTTGCTATTGTGAGTAGTGCTGCAATGAACATTTGTGTACACATCTTTTTCTCAGAATGCTGTATATTCCTCTGGGTATACACCCAGAAACGGGATTGCTGGGTTGGATGGTAGTTCTGCTTTTAGTTCTTTGAGGAATCACCATACTACTTTCCACAATGGTTGAACTAATTTACACTTCTACCAACAGTGTATGAGTTCCCTTTCTTCTGCAACCTCACTGGCATCTGTTATTTTTTGACTTTTTAATAACAGCCATCTGACTGGTGTGAGATGGTATCTCACCACAGTTTTTATTTGTATTTCTCTAATGATCAATGATATTGAGCTTTTTCATATGATTGTTGGCCACATGCATGTCTTCTTTTGAAAAGTGTCTTGAGCACCTTTCTTGTGCAAAAAACTGGTCTTCTCTTTTTATATTTATTTGCTGTAAATCTTCTGAGTGACTCTTTGAGGCAGATAATAGTATATTCATTTATTAAATGAGGAAAAAAGGCCTACAGATGTTACGTGCACAATCAGTAGAGTTAGATTTTGAATGGAGATCATCTGATTTTGCAAGATGTATTCTTTAAGCTATATATAGATTTATAAATATATCTCATTCCTTTTCATCACTGCACATTACAACATGGTATCTAGATTTAATAAATAACTTATTTTGAACATTTGCATTATTTCCTTTTTTTGTTGACAATGTGCTATAAACATCCTTATATGTCTGGGTACAAACATGTACGTATAATTCAGTAGGATAATTTCCTAGAGGTAAACTGTTAAACATTAATTATTAAAAGGTATGTATCTATACATACAGGCACATGTCAAAATATTCAATTTTCTTTAAAAAGTTGTATATTTTATACACTCACAGTCTATCCCCAAATTCTGATAAAAATTTGACAGAGATAAAAATTTAAAAGCAGTCCAAATAATTTTAAAAAATATATTGAGTTGTTCTACTTTTCACATCTCTGATTACTAAGGTTACCAACCATCTTTGTTTTAGCTCTGAAAGTCTCACGTTCTGGATACACCTGGGGTCCCAGATAAACTGAGATGCCTGGTCAACCGACTAATTACTAATTAGCTGAAGCATTGTTTCATATTTTTACTGCACAGCTTAGTTTCTCCTTTTATGAGCTACCTATTTGGATCCTTTTTTCATTAATTTTGTGTTGCCTGCACTTTTTCTTACTGACTTAAAGATGCTCTTTACATATCACTTGTATTGCAGATTTTCTCCCATATCATTGTTGCCTTTTAACTTTCTCTTTAATGTCCTTTATCAGTAAATAAAACTTGCTACATAAAAATTTAAAACTCACCAATTGTCTCTTAATTAGCACCTAGGTGTTTAGAAAGATCTTGTCTATAGCAAGAAAAATTTTACCTTCACTTTCTGCTGTTTTATAAATTTTATATTTAATAATTCATTTTTATTTGATATGAGATTTTATGCAAATTTCATTTTTATCGTTTATAGGTTATATTGAATTTACACCAAAACTTATGAAAATTGTTATTGCTACAATATTAAATCTCCACAATTATGAATTAATGAAATTCTCCATTTATTCGGGTCTTCTATTACATATTTCAGTAAATTTTATTATTTCTATCAGGAAGATCTTGAATTTATTATTTTGTAGTTTGTAGCTATTGTGAATGGGATTATTTTCTATTACATCTTTCAACTAATTAATGATTTTTATGTTTACATCTAGGCACTGTGATAAACTCATTAGTTCTTTTAGTGTGTCAGTCAGTTGATTATTTTAGATTATCTTGGTAGATGATATTTGCCAACAAAAAATATTATTTTCCTTTTTTCCCCTCCTCTCTCTGCTTATATGTAAACTCTAAATTATTTCTCATCTGACTCAGATTGCCATAAATATGCTAAAAGTAACAATGATACTAACACTACTCTTCTGTATCTGACATTAATGGGAATGTTTCTATTCTTTCACGATTAAGTATGATGCTCATTAAAGGCTTCCCTTCCTTATTAACTTTATTTTGAAAAGACTCTTTTTGAAAATGCAACTACAAATTGGCTTTTAGCAAATACTCTGACATCTACTAAGACGTTTATATTTCATATTTAATCTCAATATACTAAACTACTTTAATATATTTTCTAATGTATCATGCTTGCATTTCTGAAATAAACCTAATCTGATTATTATGAAATATTCTCTTATTATAGCATATGATTTCAATTGCTTTTATTTTTGAAACATCATCTTGTTCCGTCATCCAGGATGGAGTGCAGCAGCACGATCACGGCTCACTGCACCCACAACTTTCTGGGCTCAAGTGATCATCCCAACTCAGTTTCCCAAGTAACTAGGACTATAGGTGCATGCATCAATGCCTAGCCTAGTTTTTGTATTTTTTTGTAGAGATGGGGTTTTGCCATATTGTCCAGGCTGGTACCAAATCCTGAGCTCAAACAATACACCCACCTATGCCTCCCAAAGTGCTGGGATTACAGGTGTGAGCCACCATACCTGGCCACTTATATTTTATTTGTATTAAAATATTTGCTTCTACTTTCATAAAAAAGCTGATATATGGTTTTCTTTTTGTGTGTGCTGTTATTGCCTGGTTTATCATAATCATACCAGCTTAGGGAAGAATTTTGAGGACTTGTCATTTTTTCCCATGATCTTTGAGTAAGATTTAACTGTTGCTTGAAGATGATGGAGGAAGAAAAACTTTTACTGTATTTTTAGAGGTACATTTAATTGGCAGGGGGTTACATGTAATCTTTAGCTCATTCAACTAGTACATAAAACTTGAACATAAATATTAAGAGTAAAATATAATATTATATATGAAATGATGATACCTGAGAACTAGTAAGACCCTGATCATACATAAGAAAAACTTTTGCTTTGTAAGTGTTAGAATAATGATAGAAATTCTCAAATTGTTAGTGTCCTACATTACACAGAAGACACATTTTTAAAAATATAGACATGGTTCTATAAGGATACTGTATTAGTTCATCCTCAGGCTGCTATAAAGAACTACTCAAGATTGAGTACTTTATAAAGGCAAGTGGTTTAATTGACTTACAGTTCAACAAGGGTGGGAAGCCTCAGGAAACTTACAATTATGGCAGATAGGGAAGCAAACATGTCCTTCTTCACATGATGGGGGGAAGAAGTGCCAAGCAAATTGGGAAATGCTCCTTATAAAGCTATCAGACCTCATGAGAACTCACTCATCATGAGAACAGCATGAGGGTAACTGCCCCCATGACTCAATTACCTCCGACTGGGTCCCTCCCAGGACATAGGAGATTATGGGAACTAGAATTCAAGATAAGATTTGGGTGCGGAAACAGCCAAACCATACCAGATATGTCGCAAAAAATTCAAACAATGTAAAAAGTTATGTGGTTGATAATGTCTAAGTTATATCAGAAAGCAGCTCTAAGACAAAATAGTTTTATGCTTCCCAATTACACCAAAATACCAACTCACTTTTGATTTAATAGTTTGGATGTGTTGTTCTACTTCTTCAATGTCCTCAGTGTTTTCTAAACGTTCATAAGCAGTGCTTCTAGTGCCTTTTATCAGATTTAAAGGCAACGCAGACATGCCATAGGCCTAAAAGAAACAAAATTGAACTATGTTTTAGGAATGTTTCAAACATATTATACACAATTTTAGGTTAAAAATGGCTTTTAAAGTCATAACATACGAGTCAGCAGTTGTGAAAGATTACAGTTACTGAAAATTGTGGTATATAAGAGTGAACATTTTATTGGCTCGTAATTCTCCTTATTTCGCATTTACATTTAAACAGAGTCAAACTTATAACACGATTCCTCAGAGGACAAGTTGCAAATTTACTGTGAATTTACTGTACAATACTTTATCAGAGTAATAACTACAACTTCAGACTAACTGAAGGTTAAGATAGTATAAATTAGTAAAAACAATTTAAAAATGATTTTCTATAAAAAAAATTTATTCCAAGTATACGTAGTAAACCTTTGGTAAAACATAAGGATTTTAATATATACATGTTATTTGATTAGCATACAAACTTTAACTTATTAATCAGTATTAAGAATACACGTTATTATATGTACTACCCAATTCCATATTCCAGTCCCAAATGACAGCTTTTTATTATAACCATTAATAACACTTAATGGCATTTGCCCTATGACAATTATTCAGAATCATTACTGACGGTACTTCCTTAGGAGAAATATTGACAACTATAACCTCCTGGTTGCAGCAACAAACTCAGAAGTGGATACAATATTATGTACCTAAATGTTTTTCATTTTCCTTCTGAGCACACTTTACCCAGTCCCCCATGTAGTTAGACAGGCCATGACATTGAGCTCAGGACAATAAATGCAGGCAGGAGTGAGAAATGTCACTTTTTAGACATAATCTCAAACACCAAAATATCCTGGGTGATCCTGAATGCTTTTTCTCATGCCCTCTGCTACCTAGCTGTCAATTCCAAGAATGACTTAAGATAACTTTAGTGTTAATTTTAATTACTTTAATATTCTAATATTTTTCATTAAGTCTCCTTTATGCAATGATTAAATATTGGTTAAACTACAATTCAAATAGCAAAGCATAAATTCTAACAAATCAGCTTTTTTTAAATTAGGGGAGAAGAATAAAAAACATGAATTAAAAATATCCTAGAAATCAACTAGTTCTATCATGTAATATCAACTCTACAGCATACTGTATTTAGATAGTTACCTAGTTGAAATTATTATCCAATATAGAAGTCCTTGTATTTCCAAAGGAGAAACACTTAAAAAAAAACCTTGCACTTTAAATATTATTAAAACATAAGTTAATATTCTCATTATTTCCCTTTCATCCCAAAAAAGGAAGGGGTGGAGGAAGATTCTGTTACTATTAGATGAAAATGCAATTTGGATACAGTACAGTTTCAGTATCCCTTATCTTAAATAACTGGGACTAGAAGTGTTTTAGATTTCAGAATTTTTTGGTCTTTTAGTATATTTACATTATTGAGCATCCCTAATCTGAAAATCCAAAATCTGAAATGCTGCAAGGAGAGATGAAACAAGATGGTAGAATAGATGCTTACACCATTCATCTTCCTCACTGGAAAACCACATTGTAACATCTACATACAGAAAAGTACCGTCACAAGAACCAAAAATCAGGTAAGCAATCACAGTACCTGGTTTTAACTTTATATCACTAAAAAAGGCATTGAGGAGGGCAGGAAAGACCATCTTGAATCACCAATGCCACCCCCCCTCATCCCCCAGAAGCAGCCATGAGGCAGCATAGAAGGAGAATATTTTCAGTTTCAGAAGGGAGAGCACAGTGACTCGGGGGACTTTACACTGAACTCAGTGCTGCCCTGTCCCAGTGGACAATAAAGCCGTGCTGGGCTCAGCTAGTGCCCATGCATAGAAGGAACATTTGCACCAGCCCTATCCAGAAGGGAATCACCCATCCCATTGGTTGAAACTGGAATTTCTTGGCAAGCCTTGGCACTGTGAACAAAGTGCTCTGGTGTCCTAGGTGAACTTGAAAGGCAGTCTAGGAAACAAGGACTGCAAATTCCTAGACAACTCCTAGTGGTAGGCTGGGCTGAGAGTGGACTAGGGTGGCATGTGACCTACGGAGACTACAGCTAAGGGAGGGCTTGCACCATCTCTCTCCCAACCCCAGGCAGTGTAGCTTACCTCAACAAAAGTGGTTCTTTCCTTTGGCTTTAGGAAAGGAGAGGAAAGAGTAAAGAGAACTTTGTTTTGCAGCTTGGATACCAGCATGGCCACAGAAGGATACTGTGGCAGTCATAAGGCCCCCATTCCAAGGCCTAGCTCACAGATGACATTTCTAGACACAACTTGGTCCAAAAGGGAATCTGCTGCGTTGAAGGGTAGGTAGGATTGATTACCTGCTGACTGAAGAGCCCCTGGTCCCTGAATAACCAGCAATGTTACCTACAGGGTGTGTTATGGACCTTGGGCTCTGAGACACACTGGCTTCAGGGGTGACCCAGCACATTCCCAGCTATGGTGGATATGGTCTGAGAAAAGTAAGGGGGGTTTTGTCTTGCACCTTAAGTACCAGCTCAGCCACAGTAAAGCAAAGCCAACAAGTGGGCTCTTGGGGTCCCCAAGTCATGGTCTAGGCTCTTAGAGGATAGCATCCCTAGACATGCTCTGAACCAGAAGGGAGTCCTGCAGGCTGAATCTTGGGCCTGGCAGCAATCATCACAAGTGATCGGAAAAGCCCTTGGGCTTTAACTGAACTTTGGTGGCGGCCTGGTAGAACCCCCATGTAACAGTGCTGGTGGTGGCCACAGGGAGAGACTCCTCTGCCTGTGGAAAGCGTAGGGAAGAACAAGAAGGACTTTGTATTATGGTGATGTGTCAGCTTAACCATAGATCATCAGGTAAACTGCTAAGGTTTTTACTCTAATCTCTGGTTCTCAGGCAGCATCTCTAGACACACCCTGGACCTGGTGGAGGAACTTGACACCCTGAAGGGAAAGGCCTTAGGCAAGATCCAGTGCTGTGCTGGCTTCAGGTCTGACTCAGTGCAGTCCCAGGGCTGGCTGCCACAGGAGTACTTGCATTGTTGTATTGGCCTGAGCATAGAAAGTCAACACCAAGACAAAAGTATGCCAAATTGCAGGGTCTTTATTGCAGGCGGCCACAGAGGACTCACATCTCTCCAACCGGTGGCCCCAAAAGGAGGGTGTCAAGACATTTTATACCCATAAAACCACCTCGGGGGTGAGGGAGAGGGGCTTCAGGCATTCCAAGGGCCAGTGGATTCTGTAAATCACCTCCTGGGCGGAGATGAGGATGAGGGGCAAGGGCCGGGGGAATTTTACATTCTGATTGTTACTTAAGTGGTTCACAAAAGTCAAAATAAGCATTTGTTTACACATTGTCTGGGTAGGGTGGAAATCACAGACCTTAATTACTTATTACAAGTCACAGGGGCCAAGATGCTGTGGGTTTGGACTGCTTGCCTGTCACATTAGGGTTACAGAGAGCAGTTTCAACAGAAAGCCAAGGTATGGTTGAGGTATGCAGTTTTATGGGGCTTTTACCATTTCACAGCATCACCACACCCTCAAATCCAGGTGGCTCAGTGCAGAGAGACTGTTTGCTTAAGAGAAAATAAGGGAGAAAAAAAAAACTCAAGAGTTTCTGTGTAGTAATCCAGAGAATTCTTCCAGATCTTATCCTGTGGGTCAAGATGGACAGGGGGATACCTATGTTAATTCTAGCTAAATAATTATAAGCATGCTTGGCTCAGAGTACACTGAAGTTTATACACCAAACTAAACTATATTATTGGTGCAGTTAATGAGAAATCAAGCTGCAACAGGAGGCCGAAGGTAAAAACCATCGAGAACGCAGTAACACCAGGGAACACCTTGGGGTGGTTGCAGAGCGGGTAATACTGCTCTGGTCTCACGAATGCCTTCTCAACATGGAGACTGCATGAGGGTCTCATAAAGAGGGCTTATGCAAAGATCTCTGAGAAGGGAGGCAACCTCTGCTCACAAGATCCCGGAGGGTCTTTGCAGATGGGAGCTGGCAAGGAGGGGAAAAGCCTTGCAGGGCAAAGATCACGGGAACACCTCAGGCTCTGCCTAGGTTCTGGGAATATGGAGTGATTTTAATTGCTCTATGTCCTCAGTGCTCGGGAGATAAAAGCCCCTTGATACATTGGGTGTGGTCTGACCAGGTGGCTCCTCATCTGCTATACTTCTGATGCAGCCGCTAAACTCAGAGTACTAGTTTAGCATGTCTTAGAAAAATCTCAAGTGCTGTTAAATGCTCAGAGCACAAGTTTAGCATGTCTTAGAAGGATCACAAGTGCTCCCCTTCCCCAGCCATCTTACCTACCCCTTTATCCTCCCCTTCCACGACCATAAGATCAATGAGATTATGCACATAATAAAAGGGTTTGGAGCCCAGAGCTCCGGCCAATGCAGTCCCCATGCTTGGGTTGGTCTCCTGGACCCATGCTGTAAATTCACTCATGTCTCTGTCTTTATTTTCTTTTCTCAATCCCTCGTCATCCCTGGAACTAAGGGCACCCAGGTACGGGGTTGGGGCTGGTACCCAACATTATCCAAGACCACCAAGGTGGTACCTCTATGAGTCTGCAAAAACCACAGTGTGAATGGTCGTGGGGCCCAAGCCCCCTTCAAATAGCTGGAAAGCCTTCCCTTTAAGAAGGACAAACACAAACAAATCCGAAATGTGAAGACTATACTAAATATCTAACTCATCAATGCCCAAACACTGATGGACAGCTATAAACATCAACACCTTCCAGGAAAATGTTACCTCACCAAATGAACTAAATAAGACACCAGGAACCAATCCTGGAGAAACAGGGATATATAAATTTTCAGACAGATAATTCAAAAAAGCTGTCTTAAAGAAACTCAAAAAAATTCAAGAGAACACAGAGAAGGAATCTGGAATTCTATCAAACAAATATTTTTTATTTTTTATTTATTTATTTATTTATTTATTTGAGATGGAGTTTCGCTCTTGTTACCCAGGCTGGAGTGCAATGGCGCGATCTCGGCTCACCGCAACCTCCGCCTCCCA